AACACAACACAACACAACACAACACAACACAACACAACACAACACAACACAACACAACACAACACAACACAACACAACACAACACAACACAACACAACACAACACAACACAACAAAACACACCACATTACAAAACAATACCACATACACACAAACAAATTGGCACGAGCCCCAGGATTCCCAATCTTTTCACACATGTTCTGGGTGTGCGTCTCCCCTCCCCACTTCCCACATTTCCCTATATCATAATCCGGATCGTCGATGAATTGTGCCTGTGTGTGTGTTTCCCAACCATCCTGTGGTGTTGGGTCCGCGTTTTGAAGAGACAGCGCCCCGCGTCACTCACTCACTTCCCCTCCCCCTCCTCACTCCTCCTCCTCCCCCTCATCCCTTCTCCCTGCGTTTCATCCACCCAGTACGGCGCTTGGTGGCCCCATGGGGAGCTCCACCGAAGGCCCCAGCGCTACCGCCCGCATGCGTCACCCACACCCATTTCGGCACACCCATCACACGTTTCGTGTCCCCATGGGGAGCTCCACCGAAGGCCCACATGCCACCGCCCGCAGGCGTCGTCACCCACACCCATGTCGGCACCTCCCTCACACGCTTCGTGGAACCGTAGGAAGCTCCACCGAAGGCCCCAATGCCAACGCCCACACGCGGCACCAACACCCATTTCGGGACACATCTCAGACGTTTCGTGACCCCATAGGGAGCCCGAGTGAAGGCCACAGTGTCACCGCCCGCATGCGTCACCCACACCCATTTCGACACACCCCTCGCACGTTTCGTGGCCCCATGGGAAGCTCTACCGAAGGCCCCAAGTGCCGCCGACCGCATGCGTCACCCACACCCATGTCGGCACAACCTCGCAACTTTCGACGACCCATAGGGAGCTCCACGAAGGCATTTCTTCATGTTCGGCGATGACGGGCGTCATGGGGGGGGGGGGCGGGGAGGGGTATGACGTGACGCCCCCCCCCCGCCGTGTGGCTCCGGCACCACAGCCGCGCCCGTACGACGCGACGAGCGACGAGCGACGAGCGACGACGACGACGCGAGCAGCATGTAAGTGACGATCTGCCCATTGCGCCTGTGTGAACCACAACGCTCGCGTGCACCACGCCGCGCGTGTGCACCTCAGCGCCTGCGTACACCGCAACAGCCGTGTGCAACGCACCGCCCGTGTATGATCCAGGGTCGAAGGTTCACGGCCCCCCCCCCCACAGATGGTATGGTCCCAGGATTCCTCGGGCCCCCCCCCCCAGATGGTATGGTCCCATAGACGACGACGACGACGACGACGACGACGACGACGACGACGACGACGACGACGGCGAGGACGACGACGGCGACGACTACGACGACGACGACGACCACGACGACGACGACGACGGCTGCGGCGGCGACGACGCCGGCGGCGGCGGCGGCGGCGACGACGACGATGACGACAGCACATCCACACGCGCAGCGCAACACCACGCACCACAGCATCTGAACCACCACAGCACCACACCACATCCACATGGGGGGGGCGGGGCACCGCAGCGCAGCACCACGCCACGCCCACAGGGGGTGGCGGGGGGGACCATCGCGCGGGGGGGGGGGCCCAATGGCATCAGCATGGGGGGGGGGGGCCCAAACCCTGGACCACGTATACCACAATACTTGGGAGCACTACATCGCCGGTGTACATACACCGCAGCAGCCGCGTGCAACACAACGCGCGTGTACACCACAGTGTTTGCGTGCACCGCACCGCCCGTGCACGCCACAGCGCCTGTCTACACCACAGCATCCGCGTGCAACGCAACGCTGTTGTACACCACAGTGCCTGCGTGCATAGGACAGGTAGAAAGGGCATGTACGTCAGGATCTGATGCGGACAACGAAACGCCACGCCAGGAAAGTTCTGATAATCGAATGCGACGTTTTTCCTTTCTCCCTCCTCCTCCTCCACCTCTTCTCGGGTCGGGCGAAAGGGGGGTTAGCAAAGGGGGGGTTTGAGAATCAGCTCACGTAGCTGATTTTCCCGGCGCCTCCCGGCGCCGGAGGCGGCTATGTATCGAGGAATGGGCCCCTCGGCGAGGCCGAAACCAGCTGCATGCAGCAAATTTCGTAACCCCCCCTTTCCCAATCCCCCACTTTCGCCCGACCCGATCTTCCTCCTCCTCCTCCTCCTCCTCCTCCTCCTCCTCGTCCTCCTTTTCCTCGTTCCTACCCCCTGTCGTGCGGCTTGGCGTTACAACGCACGTGCGCATCTCAGCGTGCACCGCACAATGGTCGATTGAATCGGTCCACTCGGTTCTCGGACGGCCATTTTAGCTGGAGCCTCCTGGACGCAAGTGGGAATTAGGGTGATGCGGGCGGACTCGGGGGGACTCGTAGATTCCAGCGGCGCTCCTTTGTCCATGAGGATTTGGTTTCCATTGTTTTCTCTGGAACCCATACGCGCTCCATTTTGTCACAAGGATTACTTCTGAAATTCTATACACAACAACGGTGCTGTGTTGCACACGGCTGATGTGGCGCACACAGGCGCCATGGCGTACATAGGCACTGCAATGCACGCATGCATTGCGGTGTACACTGGTGCTGTGTTGCGCACGGCTGATGTGGTGTACGGAGGCGCTGTGGTGTACACAGGAGCTGCTGTGCCCGCAAGAACGGTGGCACAAACTGACGCTGTGTTGCACGCGGCTGCTGTGGTGTACATCGGCGGTGTGGTGTACACAGGCGCTGTGGTGCACGCGGGCACTGTGATGTACACAGGCGTTGTGGTGCACATCGCCACCTACATGTTCGTGCTACCCGTCCTCCGTCATTCCTAACCATTCCCAAACGCCGCCGGCGCGAAACGTGACGTCATTGACCTCCTCCCCCCCAGATGATTGCCGTCATCGGCGCGGGCTTAAAAATAGGCTCCAGCCGCGTACGCGCGCACGACGACGATGAGCGACGAGCGACGAACCACGAGCGACGACGACGAACACGACGACGACGACGACGACGACGACGACGATGACGACGCCTGCGGACCAGACACCTATGCGGATTCCTACGCGGACACCTACGCGGATCCCAATGCGCACGGCGGCAGTGCCCGGAGCGCACTGGGGGGGGTAGCGTTACGTCATAAGGGGGGGGGGGGGGGGCGGGAGCCATGACGCCCGTCATGCCCCAAGCAATCAAGAAATGGCTTCCACCAAATGCCCCCGTGCCGGGGCCCGCATGCGTCACCAACAACCATTTCGGCACACCCCTAACACGCTTCGTGGCCCCATGGGAAACTCCACCGAAGGCCCCAGTGCCACCGCCCGCATGCGTCATTCAGACCTATTTCGTCACACCCCTCACACGCTTCGTGGCTCCATAAGGAGCTCCACCGAAGGCCACAATGCCACCGCCCGCACGCGTCACCCAAGCCCATTCTGGCACACCCCTCATGCGTTTCGTGGCCCCATAGGGAGCTCCACCGAAGGCGCCAGTGGCTGCGTTCGCACGCGCCCACCGCACCCATGTCGGCACACCCCCTCACACGTTTCGCGGCACCATAGGAAGCTCCACCGACGGCCGCAATGGCTGCGTTCGCATGCGCCCACCGCGCGTATTTCGGCACACCCCTCACGCGCTCCGTGGCCCCATAAGGAAACGCACCGACGGCCCCAATGGCTGCGTTCGCGTGCACCCACCGGACACATTTCGGCACCTCCCTCACACCTTTCGTGGCCCAACAGGGAGCTCCTCCGAATGCGGTGTACGCAGCGACGGTACGCATCACTGCACATGGTTGGGCCCTTCGCCAGGCGAATTTCCCTTCTGATCCTGGCCTCCTTTCCTGGTCGGCGGAACCCGCCGCAAGACCTCCCCACTAAGAATGCCGATCGAATAGCGCGTTTCAGGTAGCAGCCAGAAGGGCAGACGTCCGAAGAGCCTTCGCCTCGACGGGAGCGCCATCATGCACGCCACGTGAGCTGTCGCGCAGCACGCTTATACTGGAACATGCGTGGAGCCAGCCTCCAGCTGGCATCACAAATGACATCGACAGCGGTGGTGGCGTGACCAGTGGAACGTCTCTTTCGGGAAAGGGTGGTATAAGCTTCCTATTGATTTTGGGGGGCGCGAGCAGTTTAGAACGCTGTCTCTTCCACCCCCCCTCTTCCCCTTTGGGGTGGGGTTCCCCCCCCTCCCCTAGCGCCGACCCCTGGACCTGGACGGGGCTCCCATCGACCCATTGGAGCGTCCAAGACGGCGAGAAGGCACAAATCATTGCGTTTACTGCTTTGATGTATTCTTGGCCCATTTGAGCATCCTGGGGCGGGGTACTCATATGGGACCCCCCGTCTTTGATGACAAGATGACCGCAAGATGGCCTCCAACGCTGCCAAGAGTGCCCCCAAGAGGCCGCAAAAAGGTCCCCCAGGGGCTCCCAATAGATCCCCAAGAGCCGAGGCACCCAATACGTTCTAAGAGGCACCCAGGACGGCCAAGAGGCCCCAACCGAAACTTTCAAGGGACATACGCAGAGACTCCGAAAGGTAACAAGAAGCCTCTGGCCATTCTGCTCGCCCTCCTTCTCCTCCTCCTCCTCCTCCTCCTCCTCCTCCTGCTCGTCATCCTCTTCTTCCTCATCCGCCTGATCCTGCTCGTCCCTCCTCCGCCCCCCCGCCAATGCCCCTCCTCCACCGATCCCTCCTCGATCCTCCCGCTCTTGGTGTACGACGGCTTTTCCAACCCCGATTCCACTGCGTGCTCTTCCGCATCCCTGATCAGGGCAACGCGAAGCGTCAAGAATTACCAATGGCGAGTGGAGGGAGGATGATGGCACGGTGGCAAAAACTGCGCGTAATGCGCGCTAAACTTCTGCAGCGGCGCACGTCTGGCATCGGATGGCTCGCGATTGATGGCAAACGCTGTGCTGTACGAGACAGTCTCCCACATCGGCTTGCCAATGCAATCATTATGCCTCACTGCTTCTCGTCCCCACCGGACAAGCAGCACTCAAGTTGCACGAGCATCCTGTCCATGTGGTTTTGTACGTGCCTTGAGATTGAGCTTTGGGCGTCCATTGGGATGTCGGTCCACGACTCGATCGGCGTGCTCCGACGAGTACCTTGCCAGAGAGTCGGAACCGCTGGAAAACTCTCGGTGCCCGACCTTCTTCTCGCCACTTTGTGTTGCGGATGGCGCCACATCCTGTGCATCCTCCGCCTCCTCTAGAACAAACTTGTCAACGTAGTGCAAACTGCCAGGGTATCCCGGATCAAATGTCCTCAACAATTCAGCCAACACTTCAACCGCACGTTCAAACCCGCCCTCTGAGAGGGTTTCAAATAGCCCCTTCCATCCGGCCTCACCAAGGGCTCCTAAGTTCGCGCTTCGCGCTGCGCGAAGCGCGAATAACTTCGCGCTCTCGCGCCGCCCCCCAAGGGGGAGAAGAGGAGGACGAGGAGGAGGAGGAGAAGGAACGAGGACCGCGAAGCGCGAATAACTTCGCGCCCTCGAGGGAGCCCTTGCCTCACCGACATCGTCGATACGCCCGACGTCCAGCCAGCGCGGCGGACGCCGCAACCCGGCAGGCCGCATCGCAGGCCCTCTGAGCAAACCCGTTGTGCCGCTGCTCTCGCCCATGGTGTCGTCGAGCATGCTCTCGCCGACTCCGACGACAATGAGAGTCTTCGTGAGTCGTCCACTACTATTAGGTACGGCAGGTTCGTGTCGTGACGACCCCAGCGTTGGTTTCTGACGCCGCGTGGATCGTTCAACCTTGAACGATCGGCGGCTGGTCGATCGCCCGGTCGTTCCATATAGGTTGATTCTGGGCCACTGGCGGCGTTCAACCTTGAACGCCCGCGGCGGGGTCGCCGCCGGTCGACACGACGCGAACCTACCGTACGTGTGCTACGCTCGTAAAATTGTGATCCTTCTGCTGAATCTCTGAGAAGGAAGAACTCCTGGCTTGCCGCTGCCCAATGGCAGCCATGTGCTCCAGAAAATCTGCTTCCAACATATTCGACAGCGCTCCGTGCACCAGCGGGGGGAACGCCCAGTAAGTATCACGATCGCCGTATGTACCAACAGCCTTGATCTGGTTCGAGAACGTCGCCTGACGCGGCACCACCTGCTGCGCACGGTGTTCTGCAGGGTAGTGCGACGACGCGCGCCTGCTCTCCTCCCCTTGGAAATAGCGCGCCACCACTCCAGTTTGAGATTTCACGCGGTCCACGAGCGCGCGGACAGTCTCATTGACGCCAAGGCGACGCCCGAACGTTGCGAGGAAATGTTCTGGGTTCTCCAATCGAGCCAACATGTGAACCTCGTCGTCGGTCATCGCGCTAACGTCAACGTCCGCAATGATAGAATCAAACGATGGGAACATGCACTGGCCCTTGCGCACACAACCGGGGAACCTTTCTTCTAAATATGGCCCAGGCTCCATGCATAGATTATCCAAACGGCCTGCAAGCTTACGCATCTGGGCTGACCGCCCAGGTATTACCAACAACTTTCCGACCTCGTAGCGATAGAAAAAAACGTGGCACTGATCTTGGCAAGGGCCGCGAAGGGTCTCTGAAGGTACTCGGCAAACTGAAGTGAGCCCCAAGCACCGGGATGTCGCGTTGTACACCGCTTGGAATTGCACTGTGTCGCCGACTTTAATGTCACTCGATGCTAGAATACGGCTTCCATCCTTCAAAAACACGCTCCCATCCCTCATGCGGAAAACGGACGTCGTAGATCCCTTCCTCGACAGAGACCTCGTGATATCGTCGACAAGACCAACATGGAACGTGGTGCCCAAATTCAGAATCTTCACGCCTGCGTTTCGTATCATGTTCGTCCCTTTCTGACCATGTGGCTTACCCTTCCCGCCTCCTTTCCTTCCGCAGCCGCGGAAACAAGCTTGACAATATTTCCAGAGATCGGGAAACTTCAGCTGGTCGAAAGCTAGGCGTTTCAATCCCACCAGCCCTCTGGGCGTCGGTGGTTTAGGGCGTTTCCTCTTCCACCCCTCCTTCATTCTCCTTGAAACCCCTCCCCCTACCCCCTCCCCGTGGACCTGGAAGGGGGGGGGCGCGAGGTGTCAGAGCGTCCAAAACGGCCCCGGCGAGGAAGCCAAAATCAGTGATGTTACTAAGGCTTCGGCCCCATGTTGGCCTCCTGGGGGGGCGAGGCGAATTAATGATCCGCACTTCTTTGATAGATCTCCTCCAAGACTTAGATGGCCCCAAGAAGCGCCCAGGAGGCTCCAAGGGGCCCTAAGATGGCCCCAAGATGGCCCCAAGAGGCCCCCAAGAGGCCTCCAGGAGCCCCCCAAGAGACCCCCAAGAGGCCCCAAGAGACCCCCCAGAGGCACCCAAAATGCTCCAAGAAGTCTCGGCGAGAATGCCAAAACGGCCTCGGCGAGGAAACCACCATCATTGTTTTTACTAAGGGTTTTGGCCCCATTTTGGCCTCCTGGGGGGGGGAACGCTAATTAATGCTCCCCTCTTGTTTGATCGATCTCCTTCAAGATGGCCCCAAGAGGCGCCAAGGAGGTCCCAAGGGGTCCCAGGATGGCCCCAGGATGGCTCCAAGAGGCCCCCAAGAGGCCCCCAAGAGGCCCCCAAGAGACCCCCAAGAGGCCCCAAGAGACCCCCCAGAGGCACCCAAGATGCGCCAAGAGGTCTCGGCGAGAATGCCAAAGCATTGATTCCACGAAGGTTTTAGCCACATGTTGGCCTCTTGGGGGGGAGCACGGATTAAGATGACTCCAAGAGCACCTGGGTGAGCCCAAGATGACCTCCAAGATGGCTCAAGATATCCCCAGATGTCTCATAATGGCTTCCTCTGTGTGCTGCCCACTTCCCTGATCCAGGCAATTCCCCTGGGCATTGTTTCTGGATGGGCTGGCGGGGATTCGCGAAGCGTCACACATTTCCCATTTGCGACGCACTGCTTTACCATCTCGCGAATCTCAGGCTCCGCCATCCCGATGGACCCGACGCCGTACAAATCGAATGTCTCCAATGCTGTCAAATATTTCGGAACCAAGTTGCTCAACACTTTCATCTGGTCAGGGTTCATACGGCTGTCCTTCATGTCCAGATATGTGATTGATGCAGTTGACAAAGCTCGTAAGAACTGCACAATGTGGAAATTCACTCTGAACACCTCATGAAGTTCTGGACCGATTTGGAATTCTCGGTCCTCTTCAATGATTTGGCAATCGGCCTGGGCGGGTGAAACGCTGAAAGACAAACTGCCCACATCATGTGCATGCACATCCTCTGGTTCAACTGAACCAGAAAAATCGTTCGATCCGATACATAACTTTCGAAGCCGTGAACACGAATCAACCCTTGCACTCTGCAGCAGATGGTAAGACAGCTGCCTCAGCCCTGCTGCTGTAAGATTAATGTCTACGAGGTGCACTGTATCAATCTGGAAAAGTTGGTGTGCGGAAGACAATACCGAACATCCTTCATCTGCGATGCCTGGGTTGTGAGATGCACTCAGAAACTCCAACTGAGGTTCTTCCAATGGCATGGCCTTCAGGAATGCGGCCAAGAAGTGCACTTCGCTGCAGGACAAGCCACAAGCCTCAAGCTTCAAACTGCGAAGCTTGCGGTTGCCTGCCATAGAACGAAACACTGACTCTAGCACGATCCGAGCTCCACCAGGGGGAAGAAACTTTATTGCGACACCGTCGCAAGCAAAATCTTGTCCAGAAGCGAAATCCGCGACCGTGCCTTCAGCACGAAGTGGTGTGCCCCAAGGCTCATGCGGGTGTACTAGCTTGGCGGATTCTCAAATTCATAGAAGTCTCGGACCAAGATTTTCCTGGAATTTCCTTTGTTCTTGGGAACTCAAAGGTGCTCCTGGATGCTCTTGGGGTGTGTTGCGTCGGCCTCTGGGACGGTGAACCCACCCAACCCAACGCGACCCGACGGAACTGCCAGAGTCTCCCAAGAAGCGCCCGACACGGTCCCAGAGAGCGCCGAGACAGCCCATGAAGGCCTATCGACAGCCCACGATGGACCCAAGGCGGCCCAACAGGCCCCAATACACCCTACGCCCCAAGAGAGCTCCAAGAGGCCGCCCAAGGGCGCCTCAAAATGCCCAAAGAAGTGATTTCCCATCAGCCCTTGAATTTGAGAGTTCTTGCCTTTTCGAGCAGCCGCCGCGGCACGATGGCCCAGGAGCCTCCCAAGACCGCCCCAAGACGGCCCAAGAGCCCTCAAAGAGAGCCCCACGACAGTCCAACGGCCACTGAAACGACACAGGAGCCCCTCATGAGGTGTTACGATGGCCACAAGAAGGCCCCACGAGAGGCCCAAAGGGGGAACTCGAACTGACGCTCTCAGCCCTCCGCCCTACGATGACCCCCGAGGCCGTCAGCATGCCCCCAAGAGGCCCTCAGTAGGCCTCCGCCTCCAAACGGCACCACATACGCCCCCCAGGCCCAGGATGCGTCCCACAGGCACCCAAGAGGCCTGCACGAGCCCTCCAAAGCACATCATGACCCAAGCACGGTGGCGGGATGGGCCGAAGGCATTGGGATCCGCCGCCCCCCCCTGTGGTCTTCCCACGGGGGTGGCCGGCGTGCTAAACGTTTCCGCTTCTCAAACACATGCCCTCTGGGGCTTCGGCCCGTCCCGCCGGCCACCTGGTAGGCCCCGGAAGGCTGCACAAACGACCTCAACGTGCGCAACAAGTTCTCCAAGACGGCTCAAGATGGCCCAAGATGATCCAAGATGGCCTCCAAGTCAAGATGGCCCAAAAGGTCACCAACAGGCCTCCAACACGGCCCAAGAGGCCTCCAAGAGGACCTCTAGGAAGGCCGAAGAGGCCAAGTTTATAGATTTCCTTAGATTTTGGAAGGAAGTTGATCTTTGCTTCTTTTCGGCCTTCCGACGGCCCGAGACGGCCCAAGAGCCCCCAAAGATCGCCCAAGAGGCCTCCCAGATGGCCCCAGAACTTCCCAAGAGGCCCGAAAGACCGCCCCAGGAGGGCCCCAAGACGGCCCAAGAGGCCTCCACGACGCCCAAGATGGCCTCCAAGACGGCCCTGGAACACTCCAAGAGGGCCCCCAATCGGCCCAGAGCGGCCCCAAACAACTTCCGACGGCGTCAAACTGTCCAGGAGCCCGCCAAGACGGCCCAAGATGGCTCTAAGATGGCCTAAGACGGCCCAAGAGGCCACCAAGAGGTCTCCAAGACGGCCCAGGAAGCCTCCAAGAGGACCTCCAGGAAGGCCCGAAGAGGCCAGAATCAGTAATTTGTCTTAGGTATGTTGAAGGATTTTGACATGTACTTCTGTTCGGCCTTCCGACGGACAGGATGGCCCCATAACGGCCCGAGAGGCCCCCAAGACGGCCCCAAGAGGGCATCCAGACGGCCCCAAGATGCCTCCAGTACGCCCAAGATGGCCTCCAAGACGGCCCTGGTGGGCCAGGAATGCCCTGAGACAGCCAAAGAGGCCCCCGAGAAGCCCCCAAAGGCCCCCAAGAGGCCCAAGGAGGCCCTCAAGATTCTTCCAAAAGGCGCCCCAAAAGGCTCCCAACATGCTCCCTCCTCTTCTTCTTCCTCCTCCTCCTCCTCCTCCTCCTCCTGATATTCACCGCCATCATCCCCCAAGTGTTCCCCGAAAGGTTTTCACAACGGCTGGGGAAACGCATGGTCCGATAGCTTGGCAGAGCTCTTGCCACAACGCTCGGCCACATGGGCGATTCAAAAAGGCAGGGGACGGCGCTGACTCGAAGTAGGCGTCTTCGATCCGCCGCCCGCTGTTGATTTATCACAGGGGTGCATGGCGTGCTAGGCCCTATACGGATTGGTGTTGGTTCTTATTCCAAACGGACTCCCCCTGGGGCTTCGACCCAGCGCGCAAGCCACCCAGAAGGCTTGCCCAGAGGTGGTTACCAACGTTTCTCCCGCTCCAGATGCCTCCAAGATGGCCCAAGATGGCCTCCAAGACGGCCAAGATGGCCCTCAAGTTCGCCCAAGATTGTCCAAGATGGCCTCCAAGACTGCCCAAGAAGTTCCAACATGCTGCCAAGTGCGCCCAAGAAGCCTCCAAGACGCCCGAAACGGCCCCAGAGGCCTCCAAGAGGCCTCCGGGACGGCCCAAGGGGCCTCCAAGAGGTCTTCCAAGAAGGCCCGAAGGAACAAACATACGTGTTATGTTTGTCCATTGGTGTTTGATAGATATTGGCAGTTGCTTCGTTTCGGCCGTCCGACGGCCCCAGGCGGTCCAAGAGGAGCCCAAGAGGAGCCCAAGATCGCCCCACGATGGCCCCGAGGGCCTCCAAGATGACCCCTATGACTGCCCAAAAGGGCCTCCGAGACGGCCCAAGAGTCGCCCGAGACGCCCAACATGGCCTCCAAGACGGCCCTGAAGCGCCCCAAGGGGGCCCCTGGTCGGTTCCGAGAGGCATCCAGAACTGCTTCCGGCGGCGTCAGACGGGCCAGGAAGGCCCTAAGGTGACCAAGGAGGCCCCCAAGAAGCAGCAACAGGCCATGAAGAGGCCCAAGGAAGCTCACAAAAAGCATCTAAAAGGCTCCCAGGGAACTCCCAGGATGCCCCAAGGGTACCCCAAGAGGCCCCCAGGAGGCCTGCTCGTGCTCCTGCTCCTGCTCCTGCTCCTGCTCCTCCTCCCTCTCCTCCGCTTCTTCGTTCTCCCCCGCATATCCCCCGAAGGGTTTCCACAACGGCTTAACACATGGTTTGATAGCTTGGCAGACGTCAGGCCACGACGTTCGGCCACATGGGCGATCCTCAAAGGCAGGGGGTGGCGGTGACTCGCCGTAGGCGTCTTCGATACTCAGCGATTGCATTAGGGTCCGCCCCTATGGGTACATCCAAGAGAGGCTCACTTACACCGAGTGCTGCCAACTGCTCGTTTGCTAGCCTTGTAAACGCTGCCTCGCTGGTATCATTGCTGGAAGTACGCACATTGCGACATGTGGCAGCAATGTCGATGTAATTCTTCCGCTCCTCCTCTGACAAATCCCCCCGTGTCTGACAATACTGAGACCAAGCCGTGAACTCTGGTATTTCGTGGTACTCGTTAGGGATGTCTGCAAGCCCCACGACCACCTCCACGGGGAGCACGCGCACCACATTGGCCGCTCCAGCCCATGCAGCCAGATGAAGAAGTGTGTTCCCCGACGAGCCCGTGATTCCTGGATTCCAACCAGACTTGAGAAGTTTACTGACGCACTCGGCGTAGTTTTTTTTCTGCGCAGTGAAGAAGAAGAGGCCTATTGGGTGGCACGAACTGGAGGTCGATGCCTGCCAAGACCCGTGAGCAGTCTGTGCCAAGGACGCGCTCCAACGCGGCGATCCTATCATCGGGATCCAGGGCGTTCTCCAGATCACCAAGCAAATCTTCGTATTCCTGTCCTGCCTGATCGTACGTGGGCTGTGCTACGAAGCCCCAGATATCCTTGTCCTTAGCCTGTTTGAAAAAAGTAGTTATGGCCACCTGATCAGCAGGATCTACATCTCGCGTAAGAATCACCACGACACCATCCTTTTCAAATATCCACGTGTTGTCCTTCCCAATGCTCTTGTTGCCACGCGCCACAGTGTGGCGGATCAAATAATCATCTACGCCTCGTTCCAACATGCGCCCCTTGCAATGCTTGGAAATCTTAGCCGCCACGTCCCATGTACCGGACGTGTAGCCTGTGTTGTGCGTGCGCAGGGTCTGGTTGCCAATAGAACAGGAGTACTCACTCACCAGGTCCCAGTCTTCGGATGACACGTCGTGGAACGTTTGTAACAAGCCGCTGAAACTCATTGCCTGATAATGGAATACAGCGGAAAGAACGACGCTGCGCACTTGCTTCTGCTTGATGTGTAGGGAACACGCCTGCGACCTCAGACTTGAGCCTAAATGGCTAAGGCTTCCTCTACGGCTTCCTGTACGCCACGAATATATATATATATACACACACAAACACCACAGACGAACTTTGCATGCACCTTCAGGGGGGGGGCGGCGCATAACGTCGGTGGATCTTAACGGCGAATGCATCGCCACTCTCGCCTGAAGCCCAGCAACAATCCATTGGAGGGTGTCTGTGAATATATGTTTGTGGCGGGCCTGAGCATCGCCAGCATCCAAATCCAATGCGCATGCGTTTTTGCCCAAAGCTTACCATGGCTCTAAGCAATCCAAAAACGCGAGCGGCCCAATACTGCTCCAAAGCGACTGCAATCTACCGCCAAACAAGACCACGACGGCCCAAGCCCGTCCCGCGGCGACGGCACGATGCCCCCCGCGCCAGCCGAAGACGGCCCAAAGACCCACTTACGCTTCAACTTTTCGCACTCAGAAGCCTCGAAGAGGTCCAAGGAAGCCCTCCAACAGGGCCGAAGATCTTTTGCCTGATGCGGCGTCGTGAAGACGTCGGATGGCCCCCCGAACAGCCCACTGCGGGCCCCAAAAAGCTTCCAAGACGGCCCCAAGCGGACGCAACCCCAAGATGGTAGACCGAGCATTGCAACCCCAAGATGGTAGACCGATCATTGCGGGGTTCGGGGTCTAAACCTTCGCACCCAAGACGGCCCCACAGCGTCCTGGATGCCAGTGGGCGCCGCGGAGAACGATGGTTCCACCGAGCCACCCTGCGTGCAATTCAGTGATGTCCAAGAAGTAAGAAGCATGTCGACAACGACCTACGTACCATACACGATGGGAACCATATGATGCTTCATGTCATCCCACTCTTACAACAATTCTGACAATTCATGCCATTCCACTCGTACAACATCCTACATGCCAACATCTCTGGTGCTTCGTGACTGTGACACGCAGGCGGCACAACAAAATGGTGGCACAGCTGGAATCCCACCATCCCCACATGAACAAATGGTTACCATCGCTTCTTCGTCCGACCTTCTTCTCCCCGACCCGCTCCCCTGGGGTCGAAACCAGAACGTTGTGACGCGTTGGGGAGTCCAAGATGGCCCTAGATGGCCTCGGATAGCCCAAGGTGGCCTCCAATACGGTACACTATGACGAACGCTTGCGCAATATGGCCTCCATCATACCGCCGATGTTTCTAGGCGGCTCAAGTGGCCAATGAAGCCTCCTACAAAAACACTCACTTGATGTACACTTTCCCTCACCAAGTAGTAAAAGTATTCACATCCGTGTACCCCCGTGCACGCTCGCTGCAGAAGGGCTTCTGGTGCCTCACAGAGGCCCCAAGATCGCCCAATGGTGCCCCAAGAGGGGGCAAGACTCGGGGATCTTCTGACCCGGGTCAATCCAGACCCGGGTCAGCGGGAAACCACAAACTGCAATGCAGGACAAAAAAACTGCAACGCAAGTCTGCGCAAACCCGGGTCAGCCAATACGCGCGGCCGCCTCGCGGCCACGCGCGGCTCCCTGACCCGGGTCAGCCAGAGAGGGTCTTCGCAGGATCCTGCAGGATGTGGCGCTCTGGCTGACCCCCGTTTGCACTGACCCCCGTCTCTTAGGCCCCGAAAGACCACGTGCAAGATGGCACCGGGAGGCCAGCGTCGGTGAGATGCCTGGCGTCTTTGACGGACGCTGGCGTGCTCGCTGCTTCGGGTTCTCGGCGCGCCGCGGCGGCCCACGCAGCTCCCGAGGTCGCCCCACGACGCTCCGAAGGATTGCAAAAAAACCAAGGATTGCAAAAAAACCTAGGATTGCAAAAAAACCGAAGGATTGCAAAAAAACCTAAGAATTGCAAAAAAACCTTCGAGGCCCCGCACGAGCGTCCCGAGAAGGCCCGAGGGGGCCCCAAGACGCCCACGAGGCGCCCAACGCGACTCCACCAGGTCAGGAAAGACGGCCCCAAGAGGCGCCCACCATGTCGCGCCGCCCACCCCAAGGGCACCCCCGAAAACGTCAGCTGACGCTCAAGGAGCCCCCCGCAGACCACAAGAGGTGCACGAGGGGTCCCAAAGAGGTCCGCAAGGCTCCTAGATGGCCCCCAACATGCCACAAGCAACCCCAACACTACCTTCAAATGCTCCCAAGAAGCTTCCCGAGTGACACCGCTCAAGTACCACTTGACTCATCCCGAGCGCAAGAAGAACGCATCAAAGGAATCCTCCGACAAACATCCCAAGTAACCGCGACGCTCCTCTGCCTCGCAATTACAGTCACGGTGGCGGTATGGGTTCATTCTCTGGATATACACAGATGTCCGCCACTGCGCCTCCAGGCGCGAGGTGGAAGGGTCCCGAATCCTTCGAACAATGAACCCTCAATGCAAGGTGTGCCGCGTGACCACGCGCGGCTTCGGGGGTTGGCCGCGCGACCTTCCCGCCGAAGCACAGAGGCCCCAATATGGCACCCGAGACTGCTAGGGGGCCACATGCGAACCCTAACCCCTACCCCCCACGATTTCTGAGGAGGAGGGTGGGGTTCACCTCGTTCGGGAGCTCCCGAGCGAAGTGAACCACACCCTGCCCCTCAGAAATCGTGGGGGGTAGGGGTAGGGTTCGCATGTGGCCCCCTAACTGCTCGAGAGCGCCCGATCACATCCGACGATGCCTTCAAGACGGCCCAAATCAGCTTTCAAGAGAACGCCTCCCAAAGGGCCCCAAGAGGACCCCCAGCAAGGGCCCCTATCATCTTTTCTGGCGTCCGACCCCCCAAGACGGCCCGAACGGACCCCAAGATCGTCCCAAGGGGGGGGAAGGAGGCCCCCAAGATCGCCCCAAGACGGTCCCAAAATCGACCCAACACGACCCAAGAGACCTCCAAGAAGACCCCGAGAGGGCCCCTGGACGACCCGCGAGGCCCCCAAAGCGGCCCTGGCCCCAAGAGGGGGAACGCGAAGTGACATTGACATCTCCATCGGGAGGCACCCCAAGCGACCTTCACATACATCAAAAGGGCCCCTGGTCCGCGGACCTAGGCACGGTGGCGGTTTGAACCTATATGTGTGTATATATATATATATGTGTATGTATGTATAATAATAAATGTGTATGTATATATATATAGTTGTTTGTATATGTCTACATGCATATGTATATGTACATGTATACGAATATGTGTATGTATTTAGATATATGTGTATATATGTACATGTGCATGTATATGTAGTACATGTATATATGAATATATAAACCTAGTACAGACTGAGAAACGTATTCTCCTAACGCCACCACATGGTCCAATGCCGTTTATCAGGAAGCTTTTTGTGAGCGATGGTTGCACTATGTGGTACAATGGCCGAACACAACGCCCTTCGGATGTCCACACCCACTGCCCCGGCTATTGTGCCGTGATGAACGATTGCTCCAGCTTTGACATATCGACAAACATGTATCCTGCGTCCGCAATGCGAGCACACGTCGCTAGTCGCCCCGCTAGGGACGTGGAGCCTGGTACAATGTCACGGGGGAGATGCCTCGCTTTCGGGGCGGAGGACAACCTGGGGCTTGGTACCTTAATCAAAACTTTATTACGCCAAACGAGATGGCGGTTCGAAAACGGACGGCAAACCGCGGGGGACATCCTCACAACAAATGGCTGTCTTGACGGTTCGAACTCGGTTCGAAACAATAGAATCCGGTGCGGAACAAAAGCACAATTAGCATTTCGCGTGGGACTTCCCTCAAAATACGGCGTCCGACCAGGTTCGAAACTAAACGATGGCTGCTCGAAAACGGCACATCGCGTGGCATATCCTCACAACAATTGCTGTCTTGACGGTTCGAACTCGGTTCGAAACAGTAGAATCTGGTTCCAAACACTTCGAACACGAGCATGTCGCTTGGGATTTCCTTCGTTATGCGATTGAAACCTGGTTCCGCAAAGTGGGATGGCGGTTCCAAAATGCCA